AGGCCCTCGCCATGCGCAGCTGGCAGCGCCAGCGCCCTCTCCGAATCCAGCGGCAGGGCGAGGGCCGGATCGCGACATTGGGTCGAGGCGGCTCCGAGCAGCTTGCTCCTCGAGATGACATCTTTGCACTGCTTGCACCTCCAGCGGCCAGCGAACGGCGCGAAATCGTGAGAGCTCGACTTCAAAGCGGCATCCAAACGAGTTGGCTTACGCGTTTGCTTGGCGCTGGCAGGTCTCTCACCGATCCACGGTTCAACCTCGAGCGCCGCCGGCGACGCGCGTCGGGCTCGGAACCTCGCCAGAGCCGCCGTCGCGCCCCAAGGGCCAGTGCGAGGGGCAGGGGCCGTCGCGCACCAGTCCCAGGCCCACTGGGCCGCGGTTCCAGCGCAGACGTCGGCGCAAGCGTTGCCCGAGCTCATTCGCCATTCGAATTCCGTCTTGGTCGACTGTCGCTCTTCCTCTCTGTGGGAGGGGGTCCACAAAACCGAAGCGCGCCCGAGGCCGCGGGTTTCAAGGGCGCGCCCAGCACGGACCCAGAGGTCACCGTTCTGGCCTGGAGGAAGCATGGCACGTCCACCGTGCCAATCAGAAACTAAACTCTTGCAGTCGGTCACATGGCAGACGGGGCCAGTCGATCCCTCGAGCGCTAAGCAAGAGGCCAGTAGCTCAGCGCGCGGCGCGGTCTGCCTCCTACCTACTAGGGCCTGAGCAACCCCGCGCACGGGGCTCCGATGTGGCGACGAGGGGTCGTGGCACATCGCAGCGATAGCCGGGCCGCATCTCCTTCCCCGAGGGTCCGAACTATGCTCGCCTCCAGAGCCATGCCCGAATCTGTGCGCGGGGGGGGCCGAGGAGCTACGCAGTGACCCCAGACGCTCCCCTTCCCAAGGAGGACCTCCTGGGCCACCTCAGGGGTCTCAGCGAACTCGGGCACCACATCGTCCTTCGGGGGCACTCCGCGGAGCCGCAGCGCTGGCTGGGCATCGAGGCTCGCGAGGGCGTGGGGAACCAGAGAATCCGTCTTAGTGAAATCTTCGTGCGCGCAATTAGCTGGGCACGTCCAAATACGACGCGCTAGAGTTTCAGGCCGCTCTTCATAGCGGGGGCAAAGCGGCAGGCAGGTGTGGCCTGCAGCGACCTGCCTCGCACGAGTCCACTGTCCGCCGCCCGCGACGGCGAGGCTGGCGGATCACTCGTCGAACTGCGTGCGCTTGGCGAAGCGGTTCAGCTCGATGCTCACCGTGGTCATGTCGGCGCCATGCACGAGGTCTTCGCCTGCCACATGCTGAGCAGCCACCTGCCACTGTTGAGCGATGCAATTGTCCATGACAGCGCCAAGCATGTCATTAGAGTGGGCCACCGCTGCAATGCTGGACATGCTCATCGCGCAAGCTAGGGAGCAGCCAATCATCATTCTATCGTGCCATCAGAAGCGGGGGGGGCCAATCCGGGGGGGGCTGTGGATCCTACCCGGCCAGAAGTAAGGTCGCCTGCAAAGCGGCGATCGGCCCGCGAACATCTCTCCATCGGATGGCCTTGCCCTGCTTAAGCTTGGCCAGCACCACAGGCCATGCCCTCTTGATTCTGGGGTGAGGGCGCGGCTGAGACAACCACAGAGCAACCCACTCACGAAGCAGCTGGCGTCTGGGGTCAACTCCAGGGCCCGCCGCGCCGTAGACAGCCTGGAGCACTGTCGTCAAGCACCTGCCTCTCTTGGCACCGGCGGCCGCAGCAGCAGCATCGCGTCGCGTGGCCAACAGTGTAGTTGGAGGCGCCCCCATAACCTCATGGCCAAAGACGGGCGCTGGATACACACCGGTGTTCCAAAGCTCCTTTGTCACAAATTTCAAAAGTCCATGGCGACGAACCTTCATCACTTTCCTCTGCCGCCTACGAGCCCGAGCACGACGGTTCACCATTCGAGCCGAAGCGCGAACACGAGGGGCTGCAGCATCTGAGCCGAGGTCAACGGCAGCACGAACATATTCAACAGGTATGCCCTTGCGCCTCAGTCTGCGCTGCAACTCCACACCAATCTCATCAGAACTGGCGACCAGCTTCGTCTAAGAAGAATTCTACAGTCGCATCTCCGCCAGCCCTGAGGCCGTGACATCTGCTGTAGCCTCCAAATCAGTGGGAACCTTCTGCTTCGCGCCCTCAGCTCTGCCCACGATGTCATCGATGTAGCTCCACGAGCCCGCAGGGGGCACGACGCGGCGCACTGAGTCCAGCAGCCCGTGGAGCATCACCCTCGCCGAAGGGACTCCATGTCCAGATCCAGCTACGATAGACCTGGTAACATCGATCGCGTCGGTGATCATCCGCCCCTTCTTCAAAAACCGAAGAAATGAATACAGGCCACGCTCGAGCAGCAATCTGGTGGGCGGATATCCAATGCTAAGTCCTGCCTGGGCCAACAGCACAAAGCTCTCCGCGTCGTCAAACTTAGTGAGGTATGGGAAGAGCGTCGCGTGCCCAAAGGACAACTCATGGGCACCCTCGTCCATCGCAGCACGAATCAGCGCGGCACGTAGCGCGAAATATCCAGCTATAGCGGCATCCCAAAAAGCTGACAAGACGCCGACCACTCTCCCGAAGCCTTCGAGCGCATCTTGGACCACACCTTCTGACGCATCGGAACCAGACCAAACGCGTGACATCCTCCCGCTTCCTTCGGGATCGCAGCGCCCAGGACTGCGCTGATAGCCGTTGGCCAAGCGCCTGCAGACTCGATCGCGCTCAGGTTGTCGACAAAAGCCCGGCGAGCCCCTCGCCGTGCTGGCAAATAAAGTAACGCCACATTCAGATCCAGAAGAGTGATGCGTGGCAGAGGCGCAGCGCGGGCCTCATCAAGACATTTCTTCATCATGTTGAGGATGTCCTGGGGCTCGTCGACTGGGTCCTTCCACGTATCCCTCCATTCAGAAGGCAGACCTCGCAGCGTCGCCTGGTTATCAGAGGTGGCCGCACCCCAAGAGTCCTTTCCCCAACTGGGGCAGCCGTTGCTTTCGCGCAGCGGTGGGCGGCCCCAGGCTTCTTGGTCCGCATTTCTTGGGCGCACTTCATAAAAGAGGACCTGGGGGCCAACGTGGTCCGAGCATTTGAAAGATCGGCCCGCCGGCGAGCCCCCCCAGCAGCGCAGGTAAATATTCCAAAGAGACAGCATCCAAGTTGGCGACCATGTCCTTCCACGAGAAGATCTCGTGAGGGCCCTGCCTGTTGCCGAAGTAGGTCTCGTCGTTCACGCCGTCCAACAGCTCGATCAGCTTTTGGCCCTTCACTGCGCGTTGGGCCGCCTGGTCAGGGTCCGAGTCGTTGCGCTTCAAGGCAGCGTGTCTGATCACTGGCGTGCTAGTGGTGCACCACCATTCCGTCTGCTCGTCCCTCATGCGTGGTCTGCCTGGGGTCGAACGCGCAAGCTTCCAGCGGCAAGCAGGGCCGCGAGCGCGCCGAGTAAAGCTTCCACTTATCAGAATCAACCTTCCCATGCAAAAGATCTGCTCTCTCCATCGCAGTAGTCCAATGACTGTGCGTCTCATCCACGGCGCAGCGGGCCTCCTCTGCCACTGGGAGCCAAATTGCTGAGCAGGGTCATGAGGTGCATGGTGCCCCAGAGATCCAGAGAGGGGCCGGTCCGCGTGCATCAAGAACTCCTTCCCAGTATATCTGCGCGCGCGCCTCTTCCCAAGTCTCAGCAACTATGGCAAAAGTCACCTTTTTAACCGAGCTGACATCAAGTCGACAGCCCCCCCCCCCCACCTAAGGTCGGCACCCTCTGCCCCCGAAGGCCCATTGGGCAAAGGGGGTTAGCAGCGCGTGCCTTGGGGGCCTAGAAGAGTTACGCCACCAGACCAAATCCATAGGCCAGTGCAAATCCTCGGAGGCCTCGTGGAGCTCAAGAGGAAGCTCTTGAAGCATTCTCTCCCGTGCAGCTGCATTCCTCTTCGAAGTTTTACCCTCGGGGTCTGGTGGGGCTCGTGGGCGCTCAGCAGTCGGGGGCGGCTGCGGTGGGGCGCGGTGGCGGTGCCAGCGCTGCGCGCCAGCCGCCTTCGCGAAGACGTGGACTCCGCAGCGCGTCTTCCAAGGCGCCGACATATCAATGCTCGAGCTCAGCTCGGGAAAACCTCATCCGACAAGGCCATAGTCGCACATGCGTCCAGCGCCCTTGTCGCACGTCGCGCTGCGCAAGGGAGCGGTAATCCGAGTGCCGAGGCGCTCGGGCCAACTGGTGGCAGCAAGTGGGGCGGGCTCGATATTCCAGTCCGCCATGATCAGGCACGGGTCTGCCAAAGAGCGCGCGAAGGAGCCCAGCGCCGCGAGCACGTCGCCATTCCAACCGTTCACCCCCAGTCCTGGCTGAAGGTACGCAGGGATCAGCGCCAAGTTGCCAGCCTTAGTGCGCAGCGCAATCGGCGCGAACCCTCGGCAGTGGCCCAACCTGCCAGCATCCAGAAGCGCGACGCGCGCTCTCAAATCTCGTCGCTGCAATATGTTTCAGAATCAGAATCCGCTCTCCACAAGAAAATCCGCTCTCCGACTTGCCCGGGGGGCGAGCCGCAGCGCGAGCAAGCCTCCAGCCGTCCTTGTGCAAGCCTGCGCAGATGTCAGGCATGTCCTGCTTGCACTTGCGCGTCCCGCAGAAAGCCGCGACGCTGCGCTCCGACTCCCGGGGCAAGAATCGGGCGGCCTGCGGCCCCCACTCCGTGATGTTGCCGAACAGGATGGTCATCGAACCATCCTCTGGATCAAGTAGGTCACCAAATACATGCGCTGCGTCGCCCCGACGCCGCGGGCACCCTTGCCCACGCCCTTGGTCGCCCTGGCCTGGGCCTCCGCGTTGGTGACGACCTTGGCGCGCATGTCCTTCCGCGCAGACTCAGGAATCGCAGCGGAGGAGGTGGGGCCCTGGCCTGCAGCCCGCGGCCGAGGAAGCCGCGGCCGCGCCGCCCGCCTCGGCGGGCGGGGGTGCGCCAGAGCCCCCTTCGCCGCGGGCCGCGCACCTCCCTCGTCGCGGCGGCGCCGCTTGGTGGCAGCCTCCTTGTGCGCGCTCTTCGCCTGGTCGAGGAGCGCCTGGAACTCCTTCTGCTTCTTGGTGGCTTGCCTCGAGACGTCCTCGAGCTGCTTCTGGAAGGTCTCGGGCGCCGCCCTATCGGTCAGCTCCAACTCGTCGAGGGGCCCGAACAGGGCAAGGTCCGCGGCAGACGTGATAGCCTCAGGCGCCTTGTCGGGAGTCTTGCCCGCGCGCTCCTGGGTCTGCAAGCGCGCGCTCCGCCTCGGACATGGCGTCGGCAGCCTTGCCGAAAGCCTCGCGCGCCTTCACCGGCTGCTGCTTGGCGTGCTCGACAGCGCGAGCTGCTCTGTGCAGCACCTCCTGCTTGCGCGAGCACTCCGCCGTGGCCTCCTTGAGCACCGCGCAGGCGAGCCTGGGAGCTGAGACTTGCTTCTTCGCATCAGCCAATACCTTGAGCTGCGACGCCTGCCTGGCCGCCTCTGGGTCCTTCCCCAAGCGCGCCGTCTCCATCGCCTTAGACATGTAGTCTTCGCGCGTGAAGGTGGATGGGCCCTTGTGCCAGTCGCCCTGGCCGTCCTTCCACCGCGGTGCGTACCGCGTGCCATTTGCCGTAGTTGTCCACCCTGGCCGCGCAGTGCCGCAAATCGCGCGGGCCCCTTTCTGACGCCTGAGCCGCCAGTTCCAGGCCCTGTTGCCGCGCGTCGCGCGCGTGGTGGGCGCGTTCTTTCCACCCCCCATCTGTTGCTCCAGCAGGAGCTCGCAAAACCTTGCTCCAGCAGGGGCTCACCAATCACTGAAAGCTGGCTCGGGGAACAGAGCTATCCCAGTCAGGCGCGGAGGCGCGGGGCCTCCAACCTCCAGGCGCATTAGCCCGGGGCCAAAATTGCCACGGTGGAGGAGGGGGGGGGGGGCGGGGAGGAGAGAGGAGGAGGAGGAGGAGGGGGAGGGGGGGTAGGAAGAGGAGGAGGGCGAGGAGAGGAGGGGGGGAGGAGGAGGAGGAGGAGGGGGAGGGGGAGGAGGAGGAGGAGGGGGAGGAGGAGGAGTAGGAGGAGTAGGAGGAAGAGGAGGAGTGGAGAAGGGCGGGGAGGAGGGGGGGGGAAGAAGGGGGGGAGGGCGAGGGAGAGGGGAGGAGGAGGGGGAGGGGGACGGGACGACCTTGCGGCAGAACGTCAGCTTCAGGCAGCAGCTTGCGCCTGGATGCCTCCTCCTTGGCCTGAATACGGGCTGCGAGCGCTCGCAAACGGTCGGAATCGACCAAACGAGACGACCCCGCAGCGAGAGGGCCAGGAGGGGCAAGAAGCGCCGACTTCGACGGCGCTCTAGCAGGCGCCAGCGAGTCGTCACCCTCAGGATTCTTTATGTAGTGAGGGTGGAGGCCAGCCTGAAGTCGCGTGAGCACCTGTTCACCCGTAGTGCTCAACTTCTTGACACAGGTCTGACCTAGCAAGTGGCATCGCCTGCCGGTGTATGCTCCGCAGGCAAAACAGAAAAACAGCGGCCTCTGGGTCTTGTGCAGGATGGCGAAACCCAACTTATGTTGCCGCTCGGTCTCAGCACCCTGGAGGCGCCTCAGGGCCGTGGACAATCCAGCACAACCATTCATCGGGCGGGACTCGCCCTCGAATGCCTCGAATGCAATCCTGAAACATTTCTTGCATCTAAAGAGCGGGTCGATCGCCACTGAGCTCATCCCAATCATGCCAGTCGGGCGGGGGAGGAACTCTGGGCAACCTCTTCTCTTTCGGGGGTCTCTCAAAGTGCAGCTTAGGAAAAAAGAGAGTGCACCTTGCCGAACATTAGCGCACACGCTCGAAGGGCCTGCACCTGCCTATCCAGCATCTCCAGGTCAGCAGGTGCAGGCTGAGGATGAAGCGAGAGGGCGTACTTAGCCAGGCGGTCAGCATCCTGGTTGGCTAAAGCTATTCGCTTCTGGTCTGGGGGAAGGGCCTGTATAACAGCATCCGGCCGATGGGCGGGCGTATGCTGGGCCTCTCCCAGGGCGTCAAACCCAGGCGATTGCTGCGCAGCACGTCGGAAACCTGCAAACAATTCCCGCGGGCACAGCTGCGCCTCGTCCGAGAGATTATGCAAACGCACGGCCCCTTTGCAATCACTGAAAGGGGAACTCATGCCCGAACTAAACGCACACGCAGTGGCCAGGCCCAAATTTTCGGCAGCCTGGGGCGTCTGGTGCAACACTGGCCACGCGGTGGCCATGAAGCGGGTCCGAACCTGGTAAACGTCCCCTGGTTCCAAATAAACTCCCGCAAAAGCAGCACGGTTGAGCTCAAGAGCTGGGCACTGGGTGGCCGAGCCGTCGACCACTAAGTCGCAGCTCTCACTCCGTTCAACAAACTCTTCGAGAGACAATGGCTGCCCATTCGCATCCTGGAGGAGGGGGTCCGAGGCCGCCGAGGGGGGAAAGGAGTCATCACCGGGCTGGGCCATTATCAATCGAGACCAAAACAATCGCTCTGAGGGCTGGCAGTTACGGGCAGCCTCGATCAGATGAGGTTCCACAGCTTCACTGCGGGCCGTTGAAACCTCTGGGTCATCACAAAATCACTGGCGGTGGAAAATCGAGTCAGGTTGGCCGCGCTTGGGACAACGTCCGTCTGAAACATAACCTGACTATTGCAAACGGTCTGCCGTCCAGCAGCCATTTGAAAAACAGGAGCAGATCCAATACTTTGCTCGCGGCGGGGTTCGCTTCGAACGGAGGAGGGGGCGGAGAGGGTCCACGCACACACGCGCACCATCGAACGGGGGGGGGCTCGCCACCAATCGCCTCTCATGGGATCTCTGAACTCCTGACTGTAAAAGACTGGCAATCATGGCTGGGCTGTGATACAGTAAATCAACAGCATTGCCCTTGTCATCTTGCCACCTACTAAAACTAAGTGCCTTCCAGCCTATGCGATCTAAACTCAGAAGCATTCGATGGCCTGGTCCCCGAGAGTTCCTCCACTCAGATGGTCCCAGGCGTAACTCCTGAGCCTCGAGGTTCCTCCAGAGCCTGATGTGGTCCCTGAAAGAGAAGGGGCTGGTGGACGGCGTCGTCAGACTTCTCCACAAGCTGGTCGACAATTGTCTGGCGTGCGCCGTCGCCTGAAGCCATGCAGGATCTCCGTGAATACAAACTTCTGCCGTAAGCGACGCACCTCTATGCGCTGGCGAAAGACCTGAGAGCATCGCGCCCCTGAGATCGTTGAGTTCCTGATCAGACATTCCCAGGGCCATGGGCCCGTAACCCGCGGCAGGCCTGACCCCACATATGTAAATCTTGCTCATGCGAGATCGCTCCCTGGGCAATTGCTTTCGAAAATAACGAATAAAACCATGACGGGTCCTCATATCTTTGAAACGAGCCTTCCTTTGTGTGCGCCCTCCTGCACATGCCCGACGCTGTCCTGGTGCTAAGTCGCAGCCCAGCGAGATGGCCGAGTTGCAGGCGAGAGACGGGCAGTAGCGGGCAAGCTTCTTGGCCAACCGAGCAGCCACGCGCTGAGAAGATGCAAAAGTCGATGCCTTGTCAGCAGCTAGTTGCACTCCCAGTCGGTGTTGGAAGATATACTTCCTATCATCGGCAGCTCTAACAAGACCCTGAATTATTTTTTCTTCTTCACCAAACGTAAGGATCGTGTCATCATCAATGTGCGAGCCCAGGGATACTTGTAGGTTCCGGATAGCAAACTGATCAAACTCGAACAACGTGTAAACCTTAACGAAAGCGTCATTGTATATATCACCAGCTGGTAATCCTGATTCCGCGAAGAGGGGGGGGGGGCTGTGATGGGCTCCCAACCTCAAAATCCTCGGGCCCCTCCAGAGATTATACAGGGTCTTGACGAGTACCCGCGGGATCCCCCAGTTCTCAGCACGCGCACGGAACCAGGATAGCCTAAACGATTCATAGTCTTTCGTTCCATCCCAGATAAAGCCTGCAGTGACCTTGCCCTGGGACTGGGCTTCTTCTGCCAACATGCTCTGCTGCCACACCGCTGCTTCAGACGACTGCCCCTCCCCGAAGGACCAGTAGGCCCTGTGGGCCCGAACCAGGAACCCATCAACTTCAGGCCGTCTCAGCCTTTCCCAGATACGAACTGGTGCAGCAAGGAGCAACACGGGCCGAAGACCGCCTTTCGGCTTCTCGAGAAGCGGCAGCAGCATCCACAGCAGCTGCATCGGGAACAACCCAAGGCGCTCGACCGCCTCGAACAGAAGAGACATCACCTCCAGGCCAGCATCACTGAGGAGGCTGAAATGGTGCACGTGCAGCCCGTCAAGCGACTGGGCCGTGTGAACACTGAAAGACCTCGATGCCGCCCGAATTTGATCAGGACAAGCTCGGGGGAAACAGCTTCTGTCAGGTATCCACGCCTCTGGGGGTCTTACCTGTGACTTCCAGTAGCCTCCAAGGTGAGCAGCTTCAGCCTCTAGGAGCTTGACGGGGTCCGACGAGTAGATCCCTGGGGCCACTTGAGTAACGTGGGCTGCCACATTTTTTGGAGCTTGGTGAACCGGTGCATGGGCCTCGCGGAGCCTGCTAGAGCCTTCTGTTGCCACTCATCCCAAGACTGTTGAAGGAGCTTCTCCCCTTTGTCATTGGCATCCGAGAGGTCCTCCTGAATAGTATCCAGAACATACTCAGCTCTATCGCGCCACTCCTGCATATGGGGATGGCCTAAACTCCACTTTGCCGCAAGGGCTCATTTCCTTTAAAGACGCATCCAGTCTGATGTTGAGGCCTTCCCCAGGACAGGAGTGCTGCAACGAAACCTGGAGGGTCAAGATCTGGGCCTCGCCCTCTGCGGCGCTGGCGGTGATCTGCACAAACTCGGCAAACGCGTGATAAAGCCATCGCCATCCTGAGCAGACTTGGAGCTGGTCATCCGCATGCTTGGGACGATAGAACACAGGAGCCCAGGACGCTTTTATCGATTGCCCCCTCATTCCCAAAATCTTGGCCTCGGTGCCCAGGAACCGAACTAGCTCCAACTCGGCGCAATCCACGAAAGTGGTCCAGGCAGCATTCAGACTAGTCCAAGCCTCGTCAGCAGGACTACGACGTGCAAGAGCGACGGCATATGCTGCCTGATGCAGAGAACCCTCTCAGCATCCTGGCTCTGGCACTGGGCCGAAAGGTAACTCAAGCGGCAACTTGAGGTGACTGCGATAAATCAACTGCTTGGCCTGAGGAGCATCAGGCCGAACCTGTAAAGCAACGGGGCGATGTGACTTGACATCCCACTGCATGTCGGCTTGAAACCCCGAGATCAGCCTAGCTACACCAGCACCCAAAGCGAAGAAATCAATAATGGAGCTGGAGGTAGGGCTTCTGCAAGTGGGCGCTGTGGGGGCCATGAGGAGCATGCCCAGTTTACGTGCGAAACCTGAGCTCTCTACGACATCGGGGGTCATATTCCAATCTCCCGCGATAACCGAACGAGCTGGGTCACTTACTGCACGACCCAACTTGGCCATCAGACCAAGGTTGAACTCACTGAGTCCTTCAGCCGACTTGAAATACACCGAAAACATAAATATAGTAGGCCACCCAGGGAAATCCACGAGGACCTTCATGAGCCTATGCGGGGCAATGGGCGCATCTCCTTCTGGTGGC